GGCGCGCTTTGCAGCAATTCCGTCTTTGAAATCCATTCCAATTCATCTAGTGGGTGGTACAAAAAGTGAACTTGATACCGTTTGTTACGTCCCTTACCAGTATGACTCACAATTCTGTCAATCTCATGTTGGCCGTTGATAGGGCGAGGGATCATAGGGTCACGATAAGGAAAGGAACCAGGAGCATGATACAGAAACAGTTTGGATGCATGAAAGATCGGATACGTGCGCAGATTTGGAGACACGTTAATCACATGGACCAAATCCTTCGTCATTTCCCACTACTTTCAAAACCTTTCAAGGGCCATAACACAGAGGAAGTAGTTTACGTGACACTCCTTTAGAGAACTCGAACATCTTGACCTAGACATAACTTGCCACTTCGAATGGTGCACGTCGTCGCTTCTTATTAGTGTGTTTGATCGTGGCCTTCCGACGCTACGCTTATTCATTGCTGCAACAACTCTTTTGAGCAAGCGGTCGTAAATGGCACTATAGCCAGGCCGACCAGGTTTTAGAACGGGTGCATGATCAGGAAACAGGAAAGATAGAGGTGCATATCTAACCATAATGTAGCCATTCGGTGTCATGACGGTGGAAGAGTGGATGGAGTCCGCTGTACAACCCCCTCACAATAGACAATTCGACATACCACATGTTCTGATCGGGAATGATAAGAGCGTAAAGAAGTTGAGTATCAGTCTGGTTGATCTCCTCAGCCAAACCATTGGCTTCGGGATGATGACCAAATGTCATTTTGAGCTTCATATCATAGATTTGGGTTGTGAAAGTCCTTCCAATCTGCGCTAATAAACCGGGTGTCCCGGTCGCTCACAGAGTCTTCAGGGTTCCATATTGCATAATGTAATGCTTATTGAATTCTTCGATTAGAAGCTCAGTTGGGGCATGAGGTGGCAATGGAATCAGGTTCAGGAATTTCAAAAAACGGTCAACGATCACCGCCACTTGTAAGCAACCATTCTTACTTTCCTTCCCCATATCCGTGAAATCAATGGAACCTAACTCTCTGGGGCCATCGGGAATGGGTAGGGGATGAAGTATCCCATAGGGCTTTTGCCTAGATGGTGTGATCCGTTGACGAACTTGACACTCAGCCACAATTTTGTGTGCAGATCCTTTTATACTAGGCCAAGCAAACTGTTGCAATAAAATCTGTAAGTTTTCTTGAAATCGAAGTGTCCACTCCAGCCATGAGCCAGATCCAAGAAGTGAGGTACACATAAACGGTTATGCGCCCCGTAACGTTGGAACAATAAACCCTCACACTTGTGGAAATCAGGTTGATTGTTGGGGTCAACCTTGAGCTGCTGAAGGATGGCATTGAGCTCCGGATCCTTGGCAGTTTGCTCAAATAGTCTCCTTCAGTTTCTTTCGAAGGTTGTAGGAGCACACAAGTCAGGTCATATACTCTGGGTAGCGAGACAATACATCAGCAACTCGATTGTAACAACCGTTTCCGTGCTTCAATTCAAAATAAAAATATCAATCTCATGCAACCAGGGGGTCAAGGTAGTGGATAAGGTACTTTGTTCCTTGATCCTCTACAAAGTCTTGTGATCTCAGAAGACTTTGAAGTGGTGTCCCAGAAGATAGTGCTTCCAATGGTCTAGCGCCTCATGCAAAGCATAAAGTTCGCGCATGTAGGTGGAAGTAGCTACCTTTTCGTCGGGTATGCGTTTGCTGTAGTACTAGAGCGGACGCAAGCCATCACCTTCATCTTTTTGCAGCACTACGCCAATGCGTTTGCTGTAGTACTAGAGCGGACGCAAGCCATCACCTTCATCGTTTTGCAGCGCTACGTCAATCCCATACTAGCTGCATCCGTAGTAACTACGAATGTGATTTTTGGATCTGCAATGCGGAGTGTAGGATGACTCACCAAAGCCTCTTTCAAGGCTTGAAAGGCAGTCTCACGATACATTCCTGCTAGTTAGTCTTGACAGTGGGCGTGCAATGACAGAGAATCGAGGAACGAACTTTCGATAATATGATGCAAGACCACAAAAAGAACGCGGTTCACAGACATTAGAGGGTTGAGGCCACTTGCGGATGACCTCGACCTTGACAACCGGTGCCCAAGATAGATGGCACAGTCCCTCCCAAACGTTGTCGTTGTGTTTTCTTGAGGATTTCCAACACTTCCTCAAGGTGTCTCATGTGTTCTTCCATCGATTTGTTGAATATCAAGATATCGTCCAGATAGACAACAATCTGGTCACGAATCACCTTGTCCATGGACAGTGAAAGGTGGTCAACGCATTCGTGAGACCGAAGGGCATAATGGTAAATTAAAAAATTTGTACAACCCATCCCGGGTCTTGAATGCGATTTTGTGTTGGTCTGCAGGATCGACTTCAATTTGGTGGTAGCCAGATTTGAGATCGATCTTGGAGAAGATCTTGCACCCACCTACAACATCAAGCAACTCATTGATGTGTTGTAAAGGATATGCATTATTTCTTGTGATTCGATTAAGTCTACCGTAATCAATACATATTTGGAGCTTGCCTCCTTCCTTGGAACAAACAAAACAGGTGCACCAAATTCTAATTCACTAGGCTTAATTCGCCCCCACATTAGTCATGTCGTTAATTTGCCTCCACAGTTCCTCCAACTCGTCGGATCCTATACGGCAGTGCCTGCAATCGGGTGGTCGTGGCTGCAACCCGCCCGATCCAGCTGCACCCAACAGGCCCGGTCCAGGGCCAGATTTGGGATATGCAGGCGCAACTGGGGTTCAGCTAGGTGGTGGCATGGCCCCGCTGCGGACCACAACTGGCTGCGAAATTTGTGCGGGTCAGTTGTACAGGTCTCATGCCAGTATATATATATATATATATCTGTTTGTGACGGTATATATATATGTCCGAGTGTGTGTATATATATAGGCTCATATTTTCCACCCGAGCCCTACGTCGCTGCCTATGCGGGGCTGAATGAAAAATATGCAAGGCCGGGAACAAAAAGAACTTCAACAAAATAATATCAATGTACCTGGACCAAATGAAAGCTCTTAAGCATTCGCGTTTTCTGAAGACCTGCAAAAGGTAGTTCCAAGGCGGCGGTAACAGGTTGGAGTCCGTCACTTCAGTTCCATGGGGGCTACAAATGAGATTCAGGAGTGTCACTTCAATGTCATTGGGGCGGGAAATGGCCTTGGGGCAGCAGGCAGACGAACTTTGAAGTTCTGAACCCCCTGAGCGTGCTGGGGCCATACTGGCGGGACACGAGTCGAAGAAACAGGGGCGTGCCTTGCTGGTGTACACACGCAGAGTCATGACAGTGGACATGGGTGAAGTTGGGTGAAGTTGGAAAATCTGCAAAAAAAAAAATTTTAATATGAAAATATCCATGGGTAAGACCACTACCCGGGGGTGCTCACTTCTATGGTGAATGCCTTCCTCAATGATGTTCGAGTTACTTGAAAAACAAAAAATGATCTATGGGGGTGAAACGGTATTCACCAATCCGCAGTAGCTGATGCAGATCCCAGGGCTCGATCCCTAGTCCCCACCTTACATGTGTACAGTATCTGTGTCGACCCTTAGAGTTGAACCAGTGACCGTAGGGTCCATAGGTAGCACGGGTTCGATCTGTAGACCTTCGAGTAGGAGTCTCAGTCAGGTCTAGAAGTCGTAGCTGTAGCCTTCTCGAAGGGTCAAGGTCGTAGCTGCTACAGTATCGAAAGGCCAAGTCTACAGCTTTCCGGAAGGTCCGAGTAGTGGCCTTTCGAAGTTGCCCACGTTCAAACTGAGGCAAGTGGGCAAGTGTTGGAAGTCTACCGTGCTGAGTCAACAGTCCCAGTCCCCAGTCACTCTTGGCCCAGTCAAGAAAGTACCGCATGGGACTGTGTGCACTTCGGGCATGGGAAAGGGCCAGACCAACGAGTTGCAGAAGTATAAATCAGGAGGCAGCGCCCAGTCATTCATTCATTCCTGCGTGAGCTATGGGGAAGCGCTGCCATAGGTGACTTGTGCGAGGTGGTCTGAGCCTGAGGACGAAGTGGGCGAGAGAGGAGGAGTTAGCCATAGCGATAGGGTAGTAGCGACCATAGCCGCCATAGCTGTAGGTAGAATGTAGTATGAGTGTGTGGGTGTGTTCTAAGTATCGCGTGTGCGATATCCAGGGTGATCCTGTGTATGCAAATAGAGAGTTGTGTGGGCGCTGAGTCGCCATAGCCATCGAAGTGAACTTGAATCTGAACTGTGTTCTCAGCTACCATATCTCTGAGTTCTGAGTGGGCGCTTGTCACCAGTTTGCTGGGCACGTGTTTGCATGCATGAGAAGTGTGAATGAGAGCGAGTCTGATTGCATTGGTATTGGAGCTGGTACCCGTGTTCCACGCTCGTCGTTGTGTGTCGCAGGGAGAGTGCTGCGCCATAGCCGAAGTGGCTGACAAAGAAGAAGTCCGCCATAGCGGACACGGAGGTTGAAGAAGCCGCCATGCGCACCTGCAGAGAAGACCACGACGAAGAAGAAGACCGAGAGAGAGAGAGAGAGAGAGAGAGAGAGAGAGAGAAGGGCCTTGTTGACCAAACCCACACGGGCTGAGTAGGACTAAAGACTGTGTCTGACGACTCGACTGTGCCAGAGGACACTAAGCCTCCCAAGGACCGGTACTGACCGACGGGCTGCTCGGTGTGGCACGGTAGGCCCAAAATCCGAGTTGTGGGTTGCACAACAGGCCGTCTAAGTGTTGAGAAGACTTGCTGATCGCGTCGTCCTGTCTGCGACGTTAAATCATTCCTGAGGAGTTACGGGGGATCTCCTTAAATGCCTCCTGATCAGCAACAGGTCTAGTAGGGACAGCCTTAGAGTAGGTCCAGGCTAGTGACCATAGTTGACAGGATCCTGTCCGGATTCTGTAAGTCTTTAGATTGAGTCAGTAGGTGAGTCAGTCAGGGGGAATAGAGTTTAAGTGGTGAGGAGTGGAACCGATTGTTCGGTTGTGCACCAATCACCATGGTTGACGCCCGCAGTGGGAAGAGTACCACCCTCCAATATGAGGTCGAGCAGGCCCGGATTGCCGCCATATTGAGAGAGAGAAAGGAGAAGAAGGAGCTCCTTAAGCAGGCAAAGTTAAAGGCCATTGCAGAGGAGCAGGCGGCGAAGAAGAAGAGATTGGAGGAAGAGATGCTGAGGTTTCAGAAGGAGAAGATGTTGCAAATACAGTTAGAGGAAGAGGAAAGAAGAAGGGCTGCAGAGGAAGAAGCAGCAGCAGAGGAGGAGGAAGAAGAAGAAGAAGAGCCCCTTGAAAGAAAACGTGGAGAAGAGAGAGGGGACAGTAGTGGCACGAAGGAGGAGGACAGATGGAGGGAGAAGAAGATAAGTGAATGGGTGGCTAATTTATCCTTGGGAGAAGATGAAGAGGTACAACTATATGTGCCGCAGGAGGAGAGGGAGGCGTTTGCCAGGGCACTAGAGCTGATAGAGGATCCCCTGGAACACCAGGCGACAAAAGATGAAAAGTTGGAGTGGAAATTGAAGATGATGAGGGAGGAAGCCAGCAGAATAGCAGGGGAGGTTGAACGAGTGCGATCCGGCAGGTAGGAGTTGCAGGCCCAAACGGAAGTTTCTGCCAAGTTAGACAAGATGATGGGCTTCCTGGAAATCTTGAGTGAGGCCTGGATGGAGGAGCACCAGGCCCGTAAGGGTCAAGAAGTGACCCTGCAAGCAATGCGATCCAGGTTTAGGGAATTTGTGAGCGGCGTGGTGGGCCACGTCGGGGCCGAAGTTAGAAGGCTAAGGGATGGCGTAGACAAGTTCTGCGCTGGTGCCATCGAGACCGCCAAAGTTGTGGCCACAACAGAGGCCACGGCTCGCCCCCGCAAAGAGCCAGTTAAGCTAAAGTTCGCTGACCCATATAGTGGGAAGAAAGAGGAAAATTTCGATAACTGGGAGGCTAGTATAAACACGTATGTCTTTTTACAGCATATCGCCCTTGAGGAACAAGTCCTCGTTGCCTCCCACGCCTTAAAGAGACGAAGCAGCCAGCTTCGCCAGGTCCCTCGCACGTGCCGCAGATTGCGAGCACAACATGATCGCATATTCTAGGCTTACCCCCCTCGCCACTTTCCTTAAACTCCTGCGCGAGAGGTTTGCTGACATCACTAGAGGCGTTAGGGCCTTCGATAAGCTACAAACCATCCATTCGTGACAGTGGAGGAGTGCGAGAGCACTCAAAGCTGTCATGGACGACTTGGTAGCCGTCCCGGACCACGGGGTCATTGAGACCCAGTTGGTTCAATTGTTTTATCGTGCCATGCTAGAACCCTTACGAGGGCACTTCTTTGACAAGACCCAGCAGCCCAACATCACATATGATGCACTAAGTAGGGAGGTGGTCTTGTTTGAGGCGAGGTCCATGCCAGTTTCCACTTTCTGGCACAAGGACTTAGACAAGGGCAAAAAGTGGAAGGGTCGTACCATCTCTGGTCAGGTTAGGGCCAAGGATCATATGATCCTTACATTGGAAGAAGGTGGTACTGACGAGTTCCCGTACAGTCAGATTGAGTGGGGCCTCCAGGAGGAGGACAGCAGCGTAGGTCAGGGGAGGTCATATGCGGCTGTCGCAGCTGGAGGGAGGCCGCAAGGTAGAGGAGGAGACCAGGGGCAAAGGGGCCAGGCCATGGGAGGCCGAGGATCGGGCACATATGGGGTTGGCGGTCAAGGGAACTGCCATGCGGGAGGTAGGGGCCAAGGTCCCCCGTCGAATCGCCAAGCTCCTAGGCGGTCCCCACAGGGACGAGGTGGCAGGTCACCTCAAAGGTCAGGAGGATGGCACCCGGGTTGGCCACAAGGCCGGCCTTGGGAGGATCTGGGCCTGGACCAAAAGGTTTGGTAACAGCGAATGGAGCAGGGGCAGTGCATTTATTGTGGTGACCCGGCCCATATGATAAAATATTGTCCGAAATCTAGACAGGCCCATTGGGCTGCCCAGGAGTCAAAAGGCAGCCGCTGGTGGGGGTCGCAACTGCCCCTACTATTAGGCCATGTGGGGAAGCGAGCGCGCGCTTACAGGAAACTCCCACACCACATGAGCCTTCGACAGAGGTTGCAGGCCCGTGCCTAGTTAGCTGTCCAGAGACTGCTTGTGTCAGCGTCTCTGTAGGCACGTCCCTCACAAGCCATGGGAGTCCGAGGATCGAGCGCACAGGGGGTTGGCGGTCAAGGGAACCGCCAAGCGGGAGGTAGGGGCCAAGGTCCCCCGTCGAATCGCCAAGGTCCTGGTCGGTCCCCACAGCGACGAGGATGGCACCCGGGCTGGCCACAAGTCCGGCCTTGGGAGGATCTGGGCCTGGACCAAAAGGTTTGGCAGCAGCGAATGGAGTAGGGGCAGTGCATTTATTGTGGTGACCCGGCCCATATGATAAAATATTGTCCGAAATATAGACAGGCCCGTTGGGCTGCCCAGGAGTCAAAAGGCAGCTGCCGGTGGGGGTCGCAACTGCCCCTACTATTAGGCCATGTGGGGAAGCGACCGAGCGCGTACAGGAAACTCTCACACCACATGAGCCTTCGACAGAGGTTGCAGGCCCGTGCCTAGTTAGTTGTCTAGAGACTGCTTGTGTCAGCGTCTCTCTAGGCACGTCCCTCACAGGCGTGGCAGAGGAATTGAAGGAGAGGATGCCTGCCTGGGCCAAGATGAAGAAAGATAGTAAAGGGCAGCTAGTGCTAGTGGATGTAGAAGTGTTCAGGACTAGAGTAGGGGCCCTTGTAGACTCAGGGGCTACTTGTAGTTACATTAGCCGTAGGGCGCTAAAGAAGTTGAGGCTAGGATTGAAAGTTCAGAAGTTGGAAGACCCTATAGTTAGTGTCCTCGCAGACAACCGCACTATGCGTGTTGAGGACTACGTAGAGGGAGTCCAAGCGTACTTTCGCCTAGAGAAAGATGGGAAGGTGGAGAAAGTTCTCCATTCCCTGACTCTCCTCGTACAGGATGACCTTCCGTTTGACATAGTCCTAGGCATGGACTGGGGAGAGGCAGCAGGGGCCACACTCCACTTGAGAGAGCATGAGTGTAGGCTCCCTAGTCTGTCAGGCGAGGTTAAGACAGCCCGTTTGTTTCATGTGTCAGGAGTAGATGACTTGCTGGCACATTGCTGTCTCAGTGCTCCCGTGTTCGTGCGACTAGTGAGAAAGGAGCAATTAGAGGATCAGGTCTTCGTAGTGTATGATAGACCTGTCACTGAGCCTAATCAAAAGGATAGTTCCACGGATCCAGCCATTGCCAAGCTGCTGGAAGAGTTTAAAGATCTTACAAAGCCGCCGACAGGAGTAGTGTCGCGGCCGATCCAGCATAGGATAGAGATAGAGCCTGGCAGTAAAACTCCTAAGGGTGCAGTCTACAGGATGTCCCCTAGAGAGTTACAGGAGCTGCGCAAGCAACTAGATGAGCTCCTTGAGAAGGGTTGGATTAGGCCCAGTTCGTCTCCTTTTGGAGCACCAGTTTTATTTGTCCCCGAGAAGGAAGGAGAGTTGCGCATGTGTATAGACTATAGGGGTCTGAATGCAATTACCGTTAAGAATGTTGAACCACTGCCCAGGATAGACGATCTCTTGGATAGGGTGCAGGGTTGCATGTATTTCTCAAAGATAGATTTGAAGTCCGGTTATCATCAGATAGAGGTCCATCCTGATGACCAATACAAGATTGCATTCTGGACTAGATATGGGCGTTATGAGTTTATGAGGAAGTTCTCGACTATCGCCGCACCCCTTCGCATATTGTTCAAGAAAGAAGCGATCTGGCAATGGGATAAGGACTGTACGTCTGCGCTAAAGAAGTTGAAGCGCTCGTTGATAGAGTACCCTGTCCTCAAGGTAGCAGATTCGTTGTTGCCATTTGTCGTCACCACGGACGCGAGTCAGTATGGGATAGGCGCCGTGTTACAGCAGGATGAGGGCAATGGCTACAGACCCGTAGAGTTCATGTCAGCAAGGATGCCCTCAGAAAAAGGTAGCTACCTCGACGTACGAGAGAGAACTCTATGCTCTCAGGCAGGCTTTAGAACATTGGAAGCATTACCTGCTTGGGAGGCAGAAAAAGGTGTATTCAGACCATGAGACGCTTAGATGGCTGAAGACACAGGCCAAAATGACACCTAAGTTGACTAGGTGGGCCGCTGAGATAGACCAATATGACTTTGAGCTCAAGCCAGTGAAGGGCAAGTACAATGTAGTTGCGGATGATGCTCTGAGTAGGAGGTCAGACAACTTTGGAGCCATAGTTCACTATCTAAACATAGGGCGTGACCTGCAGGAGAAAGTTAGACAGGCGTATGCGCAGGACCCTATCTATAGCGACCTCCTTAAGAAGGTCAAGGAGGCCGAAGAGACTGAGCCAGATTACCGCACTACAGAGGGTTTGTTATTCGAGAAGACTAATGTAGCAGACCGCCTATGCGTTCCCAACAGTGAGGAAATTCGCAGTTTGATCCTAGGGGAGTGTCATGATATAGAGGGACACTTCGGTTGGCAAAAGACTTTAGCCAATCTTATGCACGCGTACACATGGCTAGGAATGAAAAACGACTGCATAGAGTATGTCCGCAATTGTAAAGTCTGTCAGAGGAACGAGACTATTACGCGTGCCCCTCTAGGTCTTCTCAGACCCTTGCCTATTCCAGACCAGCTTGGAGATTCAGTCTCCATTGACTTCATGGATGCCGGTGTCAAGAGTAGGCACGGCAAGAGCCAAACCATGGTTGTTGTTGATAGATTTAGCAAGTATGCTATTTTTGTCCCTTTGCCTGTAGAGGCGCGTACATAATTAGTTATTCAGAAGTTTTTCTATTTCTGGGTTAGCGAGCATGGCGTCCCATTGTCTATTGTTAGTGATAGAGATACCCGCTTCACGAGTCAGAACTGGCAGGAACTGATGAGAGTATATGGGTCCAAGTTATTGATGTCGTCTGGCCGCCACCCTGAGACCAATGGTCAGACAGAGCAGATGAACAAGATCCTGGAGCAAGTTTTGTGCATGTACATTAGACCAGATCAAGTCAACTGGGACAGGATGTTGCCCAAGGTAGCCAGTGCGTACAATAGCAGCGTGCATTTGTCCACCTGTCGCACTCCCAACGAGTTGCACAAGTCCTTTAGACCACGTAGACCGTTTGAGGGGCTTAACCGGGATCAGATTCACAGGCTACCGCCCGGTACCAGGGAGTTTGCGATACAGCATGAGAAAGAGATAGCCACTGTTGTTGAGAACCTCAGGAAGGCCCAACACCGAATGATAGAACAGGCTGATAAGCACCGTCGCCCATCACGGTTTCAGGTAGGCGACCTGGTCTGGGTCAAGTCTAAAGAGTTTGCGCCTGAGGAGAACATCTCGCAGAAGTTACTGCCCGCGTATAGAGGACCGTGGCCAGTTCTAGAAGTTACGGGCGGAGAGGATGGACCGTCTTACACCATAGAGATCCCAGCACACCTCCACACCTACCCTATCGAAGTTGTTGTCGTGTGTCACAAGTCAACAGTTTCCATCTAGACGGTCCATGATCCCTCCAGACATGGACGGAAGATATGGCATTGGCGGCATTGTAGGTGAAGATGTGTTCAGAACAGGAGGTAGAGGTGGTCCACAAAAGTAGTATAAGGTCCGGTTTGCTTACCAGGAACCGGAGGATGACCGCTGGTTCACTAGAGCAGAACTTCTAGAGACAGCTCCCGATATAGTTAGAGCCTATGAGAGAGATCATAAAGGTAAAGGTCCTGCCTTGGACTGAGTTATTCTCAGAGGACCTCGAATTTAGGCCGGCGGGAGTGAAACGGTATTCACCAATTCGCAGTAGCTGATGCAGATCCCAGGGCTCGATCTCTACCTTCTTCCCCCGAATACAACGTACGGTCATTATAGCTGTATCTAGACTGAAAAGTGCCTCAAATACAGCTATAATGACCGTACGTTGTATTCGGGGGAAGCAGGTAGTCCCCACCTTACCTATGTACAGTATCTGTGTCGACCCTTAGAGTTGAACCAGTGACTGTAGGGTCCATAGGTAGCAGGGGTTCGATCTATAGACCTGTCGAGTAGGAGTCTCAGTCAGGTCTAGAAGTCGTAGCTGTAACCTTCTTGAAGGGTCAAGGTCGTAGCTGCTACAGTCCAGAAAGGTCAAGGTCGTAGCTGCTACAGTATCGAAAGGCCAAGTCTACGGCCTTCCAGAAGGTCCGAGTAGTGGCCTTTCGAAGTTGCCCACGTTTAGAGGTGAGGCATGTGGGCAAGTGGTGGAAGTCTACCGTGCTAAGTCAACAGTCCCAGTCCCCAGTCAGTCCTGGCCCAGTCAAGCAAGTACCGCATGGGACTGTGTGCACTTCGGGCATGGGAAAGGGCCAAACCAACGAGCTGCAGAAGTATAAATCAAGAGGCAGCGCCCAGTCATTCATTCATTCCTGCGTGAGCCATGCGGAAGCGGTGCCACAGGCGACTTGTGTGAGGTGGTCTGCAGTGAGCCCGAGGACGAAGTGGGCGAGAGAGGAGTTAGCCATAGCGATAGGGTAGTAGCGGTCATAGCCGCCATAGCTGTAGGTAGAGTGCAGTTTGAGTGTGTGGGTGTGTTCTGAGTATCGCGTGTGGGATATCCAGGGTGATCCTGTGTATGCGAACAGAGAGTTGTGTGGGCGCTGAGTCGCCATAGCCATCGAAGTGAACTTGAATCTGAACTGTGTTCTCGGCTACCATATCTCTGAGTTCTGAGTGGGCGCTTGTCGCCAGTTTGCTGCGCACCTGTTTGCATGCATGAGAAGTGTGAATGAGAGCGAGTCTGATTGCAGGGGAACCAAGGTTGAATTAAAAAAAAAACGGGTCATATTGATGTTTCATATTTAAGAAGGAAAAAGGCGGCCCATGGCAGTTCACGGTGGGTCTGGACAGCCGGAATGGCGTAAAGTTGGGGCCTGGTCCGGCTGGGTGCAGTTGGGCATTTTTTCAGGTTGCTGGCCGGGCCGGGTGCCGTTTGGAAAATCTGCAAAAACCCGCTATCCAGTTTGGACAGCTTACCAGAATTGTTTTTTGCAGTTGGGGCTGGGTAGAGTTGTAGGTTTTTTTGCAAACCAGATTTGGGTCGGATCCAGTTCACAACATACACAAAGATTGCGAGCACTGCCATACGGTACGCACAACATTTTGGATGAATGTTACCTTCATCAACTTGATCTGGTGCTTGATCGAACGTGGGGGAACCCAACGTGGTTTGGCTAGGACTTCCGGGAATTGGTTGAGAAGGCTTTGGATTTATGGAGGCGGAGGATCCGAGTCAGGTTCAGGCAAATTCATGCTGCAAATTAGCAGCCAAAGCGATGGAATTTGAAGTAGAAACATTTGGACAAGTAGATGCATTAGAAGGCACGTGTGCAGGGCGAACAAAGGCTATGTACAATTGTACATCCTCCTTGCGCCGGCGCCAATTTTTGCAGAATTGCATGGCATTGAGAAAAGTCACTGGGATTCGCGCTTCTCATCCAAGAGGACAGGAGCTCGTATCCCAAGGTGTCTTTGACCATGAACTGTGAGTCCTTCCACGTCGTTTTTCCACATTGGGACTGCAACCAGCCGAAGCCAATAACCGCATCGAAGGGGCACTTGTCAAGGGCATAGAAGTTCAATGCGTGTGCGGCGGTTTTGCCTTTGTCAAAGGTAGTGCACACAAACTTGACTGCATTTGTGGCAATAACTTCTTTGTTGCCTATTTGGGTCCGACAAGGGTTCTGCAACTTCACTTGCTTCATTCCCAAGCCCACCTTGCGAACCCCGTGTCGAGAAAGAAAATTTGCAGTGGAACCACAATCAACCAAGACGCGAACGTAGCAGTGGTTAATGAGAAGTTTGAAGAAGATCAACTGCAGTCCCTTGAGCACGACCGTGTTTCATCTCGGCCCAGTGCTGCAAGTGCGTGTGGATGTTGATCTCCCTAAAGTCCTCTCAAGGCTCGACATAAAGGATTGGCTCCGCAACAGCCTTGGAATCAGCAGATTAAGGGGCATCAAGAGAAGGCTGCTGAACGACATCAGATCCCATAGAGGGATCACCATTTACTGGTGCAGCCTCTCTTGTGGTAGAGTGTGCTGACAACAACTCTTAAGCGCGTTGCAGGTTTCCCTGCAGCTTAAAACACTCGCCGATTGTGCGCCCAGGTAGCTGGCAATGCAGGTAAACATTTCTCTTGAGCCTACTTCTCCATTCACTTTCGCTGTTCCAAGATTCGATGTTGTCCTTTCTGTACGGCAAGTTCCACATTGGTCCCTATGACCAATGACTGAGTAACTGGGGGCGTCCCCAGCACATCAAAATGGGACCGCATGGAGCTGTTCCAAGATTCAATGTTGTCCTTTCCATCAACTTAGACGGAATCCGTGCGGCCTTTCGGTCCACATAGGGAAAGTTGCAACTTGGGGCTGCAACAGATCCAGAATTCTCTACACGGCTACTTGCTGCTGCAGCAGCAGCAGTAGCAACAGTGGGGTCTGCCCCTGCTGCAGGCCCCGATAGGCTGTTGGCCACACTCAGAGTAGAAGAAGACATAGTTAGAGGGGCAAGAATGGACTGATTCGCAGAGCATTAGAAGCAGGGTAGGCAGGAGGGAAGACAATATGGGGCTGCTGCAAATTTCCAAACTGCTGCAGCTGGTCGCCGTGCTGCTGTGCTATCCTGGCTATGTCTTCGCGGAGCGTCTTGAGTTCCTCAAACACTCACGCGAGCTGGCCAGCATGGTCCTCAACGGCCCGGACATCTACTAGGGCTCTGAGAAGCGGAAAAGTCTTCTCCTCTACCTCAGCGTCAGTCAAGGCGGGCACGGTGCTGAAGACAGCCTCATGGGCTTTCACTTTGTCTCCCTTCTCCCTCTCCCTCTCCCTCTCCCTCTCTTCTTCTTCCTTCTTCACGCCTTTCTCATAAAAGAACAGATACTGTGCTTATTCTGCCTCAGAGGCAGCGTCCATCTGCAGCTTCCATTCTAC